TAACCAGTATCATGTGTCTTTCACTTCTGAATTACATCCAGCGAAAGTTAATGGAAATATTTTAGTCATTAATGTTCTTCTTTGCTTTTCAAGAACTCCATTTGTAACAATTATGCAGTAGAATTTGTTGATATCTCATCAGAGAAAAGTCTTGTTTTGACCTTTCTCCACCATTTTATTTAATTAACAGATGTTATTATGAAGTAACACTGCATTGATTCTTGAATCATTTATCAGGTGCTTAAATACACCTCTGGGGCTTGAGGAACCTCACGTAGAATGTGGTTTCTGCTTTCAGGAAGCTTATGGTCAAGCAGGCGATATATACCTATAAACCTATGTTCTGTACTATAGTTAAAGCCATGGATAGAGATATGCCCAGGCGATTACAGAGGCAGAGATACAGGGCCACCAAAAAAGGAGTAGAAGAGTGTCTCAGCGAATGGTGCCAGGAGGGGGTAAATCCTGACCCAAGTTCAGTAGGGAGAGTTTGAGTCATTGAGAGGATGGAGGATGTGTGGAGCACTGTAGGTAGGCTGAGAGAAGAGCAATACAAGATATCTGAAAAATACTACGGCATATATGGATAAAAGGCAAACTACCCTTTTTATACTGGGAAAGTTACAAATAGGCCAGATTATGTGCTAGAGCACAGCCTTGCTTTTCAGGAAGTGAGAATCCACTGGTGGGTGCTCACACAGAAGCAGAGCTTGTTCACACTTGTGTTTTAGATGAAATCCTCTGACGGTAGCATGGAGGATGCATTTAAAGCAAGTTTGGAGCCAGCCAACCCTTGTAGAGCATAAACACCCTGTGCTCATGCTGTCATAGGAAAGATAGTAAAGAAGAGTCAAACAACCAAGATATTTTAGAAGACAAATTAGTGGCTGTTGGTTATTGATTAGACCCATAGTGAGACTGGATGCTACAGAGAATCTTGGCTGTTAGCCTGGGTAACTGGTTGAACTGTGGCAGCTACTCAATGTACTGATCCTCTTTGAATTGTGAAATTCTTAGGAATAGACTTGACTTAT